AAATATAAAAACTGTGGCAATAGACTAATTTGCATTGGCAACACTTTGCATTSTCAGCTTTTCCTTTTGTCCTGGATTTTCTTTTTGTATAAGCAGCACCTTCATTTGTTTTAGTGTAAATTGAACTACTATAGAAACCACTTGCATTGCTAAAAATGTAGTGAACAGTGTAACTGATAATGTGTCCACCTCATCTTGGGGTTTTCACATTCATTTTGTATGTCTGTTATTTTTCTTGAGCCTCTTACTCCATCTACTGTTGTGAAGCTTATTACTAGTTTTACTTCATCTCAGAAGGGCAGTAGCCCTGATTCACATGAAGTGTACTAATCCAGGAGCTTTGTCAATGCTTTTCTATCTGAATATCCTAAAGCCTGTCTTTTAATGACAATTCGAGTCTTGTGATCATTGTTATTTCTTAGGAAGAGGGAATCTTTTCCTGCAGATTGTGTAATCTCTAATTCCTCAGCCATTCTTGCCAGCCTGATCAAACTTTCTTTGTTTTCTTCTGCTGGGATTCTTTTTTGTCTGTGTAGTCTGAAATAAAATATGCTGAGTTTTGAGTTTTCTGGGCTTCTGTCAGAATCTCAAATCTGTATATATATATATATATTTTTTTTTTTGGCTGCACACATGCAAGCTAGGAAACTACAGTCCTAGATCTGTCCATGGTTGCCAGATTGCACTTCTTCACACTTAGGTCTGGCTGCAGATCTATCTAAATAATATTACAACTGTAGGATGTTGAGGATGMTTGTTGAAAAGCATGCTGTGAGAATTGCTGAGTGCTCCTTCAGTGTATGTGCTGTGAGCTAAAGGTCATAGGGGAAAACAGAAGAACACGGGGACAAGGGGCCTGAAGTAAGGAAAGCAATTGGACAGTAGCGACTAATATGACAGCTTTTTGTTTTAGACGTGTTTACTACGTGTAGTTATGATGTACAATGCAGGGTCTACCGCTGTATATTCAGTCTCTGTTTTGATCTGGTAACGCTTTCGGTTTTCATGTGGACACGGGACTATCTTAGGATAAAAGGAATGACCTTCCCAACTCTTGCCTTTCTCAGCAGTTCTGAACTAGCTGAACTCTAGCTGAAAGCCAAGATCTAGCTGTTGCATGGTSATATTTTTTATATCAGTTTAAGAACTTTCGTGTTCATAGAGCAGTAGACTTCTAGCATATTACTGGTGTTTTCTTTCATACTACACCACAGTCTCTTCTTGTGAAATGTCTTGCAGATATCAGAAGGTTATATCTTCTATAAACACATCAGAGCCCTCCAGTGCCGGTGGTAATTTGACCTGCTGAAGAGAAGATTCTTTGAATGGTCAGGTATGATGGTTGCCCTTTGCATGATAGTGAACATGGGAAATCTGAACAAGGAAGAATAAGAAATTTCTGCTGTTCTTAACTCTTTGCTATAAGATTTTATAACTTAGAATGTGTTTGTAAGTACAGAAAGTGCTAGTATAATGGAAGAATACTTCACTGGTTTCAAACACTCAGTAGCTGTAGTAGAGAACAAAATTATTTATTCAGGAGCAGAATGTAGAAGAAGAGAGTAAGGAGGCTTGGGTATCTTGTATTCCTCTTAGCCTGAGGCCCAGAATAAAATAGAAAAAAAAAAAAGAAAAGAAAAAAGGAAAAAAAGAAAACCTCTTGCTAGTAATAGAACAACAAGCCTTCGAGTTATTATTTATATTCATTCATACTATGGATATGCTTTTATACTGTTATTCCAGTTGACAATTTTTAGCCATGTTTAGGGATGCATTATCAATTCTTCATCTATTTTATGCTATGCACGTTTCTTCTTCCTGAAGAAATTTGCTTCTTTTCTCTCTACCTCCCTCTCTTTTTCTCTCTCTACTTCTTGGAACTATTAAAGGATATTTGGAAGGGAAATTCCTCTCCATGGGCTGAAAGATTAAAAAAAAGAAGAAAAAAAAAACCTGCTCTCTTAGGGCGGAAGTGAATGACTCCAGCTTTATCAGCTCAGTAAAGTGGTTTTAATCAGGATTTCTTCTAGCCCGGGTAAAGCCAAGAACTCCTGCTGACGAGGATTATTAGTAATCTTTTCCTTGATTTCTGATGGATTAGGGCACAATGCTCAGGGGAATTAGCAGCATCACGGTGAAGAATAGCGGGAGCCTTGCTGGCTGTGTTTCTTTGCTGAATGTACATTGAATGCCTTTTTCAACGGCTGCTGGTGGTCTTTCAGCCTATGGCCCCTGCTTGATCTCTTAGTTTACATTTGCCTGAGACGTGAGGAGTCTGCCGGTGCTGTGCAACCCCGCTGTGTGTTGCTGCAACCTGAGCTGGTGCCTGGCTGCTAACGCCAGGTCCCGGCTGCCTGGGGAAAGGCAGCCACGGGAGAGCGCTCCCTAAGGAGCAGCACACGCTGAGCCCAGCGCTCCACAGCTGCTTGGCTGGGGCAGAGCTGTGCAACGTGAAGCAGTTAATGAACGTTTAGAGGTTTTGCTCTTGCCTAATTATTTTGCACTGTGCCGTGCTTATAGGTTAATCATGGAAGGAGTTAATTAGCTTGTATCCATCTGTTCAATTTAATTGTTTTCTACATCTTCCTAGATCAGAATATCCTGATAATAAGAACTCTGTCATGTCTGAGGAGCTGCATGCCATAAACGGCAGCTCTTCATACCTTCATGGTGGGTATTTTGGGTGCATTACCCAAGCAGATTTCACTGCTGGCCGTACAGTTGGAGATCCCCTTTCCTTGGGGAATACTGAGGGGTGCTAGGAAGTAAGACAAGAATAGCACGTTCTTTTGGATGAACAAAAGAACAGCAAGTTCTTCTAGGAAGACCCGTGAAAAATCCATTGAGAAACCTAGGTGAGCTCACCCAGAAAGAAATGGACTCTGGGTCCATTTAAAAGTTTAAAGGCGAGTTTAAACACTGCCCTCCTCCTGGCCTCTACTTATTTTCTTGGGAATAATTTGCCTGTACCTATCTTATTCCAGCCTCTCTTCCCTACAGCCTAGTTTTGTTTTAATCAGGAGTACTGAGCTGCTTAGCTTGGAGACAAGGGGACAGGTTTCACGAATCAAACGTTTCCAGTTTCCTGCAGTAAGTATCTGGGAGACTGGCCTGTGCGTTAGAAAATAACGTCCTTGGACCCAGCTTCTCCTTATGTGCTAGGCTCCGCCGTATCTCGGAGGCTGGCTGGCACGTTGCCCGCAGCCCCGGCCCCGCGGCAGCCAGGGGAGGCCACGCGCTGCGGTGGAGGCCGTGTGCCTCGCGGGAGGCTGCGTGCTGTCTTGGCATCCGGCGGCACGACTGCCTGGCCCCTCTGGGCAGCCAGCCCCACACTTGAGGCAGCGGTCACTGTGTGCGCTGCACGTGTCCAGCTGTGCCCGTGCAGGTGTTGGTGTCAGCGTGCACACGTATAGACATCAGGGTGTGCACGTGTTGGTGTCAAGGTGTGCAAGTACAGGTGTGTGCACAGGTGTTGGTGTCGGGGTGTGCAGGCATTGGTGTCACAGCTGTCAAAGCGTGTGGAGGTGTTGGTGTCAAGGTGTGCAGGCGTTGGAGTGTGCGCAGGTGTTAGTGTCAGGGTGTGCAGGTGCAGGAATGCTGGGGCTGTGTGGATGAAAGGGATGGATTTGTGCAGGGCTGGTGGKGGCGAGGCCAGTGGGTGCAGGTGTGCGGCTGTGCCCGGTGTGTGCGGCTGTGTGTGCGGGGGTAAGCGGGGTGTGTGTGTGTGTGGCTGTGTGTGCGCGGGTGTAGGTGAGGCCAGTGTGTGCGGGTGCAGTTCTGTGTGCGGGGGTGTGTGTGTGTGTGTGGTGTGCGGCTGTGCCCGGTGTGTGCGGCTGTGTGTGCGGGGGTAAGCGGGGTGTGTGTGTGTGTGGCTGTGTGTGCGCGGGTGTAGGTGAGGCCAGTGTGTGCGGGTGCAGTTCTGTGTGCGGGTGTGTGTGTGTGTGTGTGTGTGCGGGTGTAGGTGAGCCAGGTGGGCGCGGGTCTGTGCGCGGCTCTGTGCGGGTGTGCGGGTGTGTGTGCGGGTGTGCGGGTGTGTGTGCGGGTGTAGGTCTGTGTGCGGGTGTGTGTGTGTGTGTGTGCGGGTGTAGGTGAGCCCGGTGTGCGCGGGCGCCGGTCTGTGCGCGGCTCTGTGTGTGTGTGTGGGTGTGCGGGTGTGTGTGCGGGTGTAGGTCTGTGTGCGGGGGTGTGTGTGTGTGTGTGTGTGTGTGTGCGGGTGTAGGTGAGCCCGGTGTGCGCGGGCGCGGGTCTGTGCGCGGCTCTGTGTGTGTGTGTGGGTGTGCGTGCAGGTGTAGGTCTGTGTGCGGGAGTGTGTGTGTGTGTGTGGGTGTGGGTGTGCGGGTGTAGGTGAGCCAGGTGTGCGCGGGCGCGGGTCTGTGCGCGGCTCTGTGTGTGTGTGCGGGTGTGCGGGTGTGTGTGCGGGTGTGCGGGTGTGTGTGCGGGTGTAGGTCTGTGTGCGCGTGTGTGTGCGCGGGCGAGCCCGGCGTGCGCGGGCGCGGGTCTGTGCGCGGCTGTGCGCGTGCGGCTGTGCGCGGGTGCGCGCTGCCAGGCGGGCGGCGGGCACCGTGCGCGTCCCCGTGCGCGTGCGCCGCCGGGCTGC